AAGAAGCCTGCAGATATTAATAGGATAAATAGATATAAATTATTACTACAGCAATACTTAAAACTATCTTCATTATAATTTAAATATCCACACATACTCCCTTCCCCTTAAGCTGTCTCAATACTTCTCTAGTATCACTATCCATTAATTTAAAATCTTCATAAGAAATTGTAAATTTCTTCAAACCAGGAAGTTTTACAATCGATCTAATTATTATATTCCAATCTGAATTATTAAACTTTGTCTTACTCATATCTAAATCCACCAGATACTCTAACGACTCAAGTCCCGTTGCAAAATTTTTAATCACTACTTCTTCTGGTCTAGTTCCAGATTTCATGGCTACTCCATCCTCCCCCAGTTCATTTCTCGATAAATTTAATCTTTTAATCATTCAATTTTAAACTATTTCCTTGCAAATCTATATATGTCAATTTCTTTACACTTTTTATTCCATCTAAAATATCTATAATACCTCCGGAGATCAATTTACAAAAGGTAAACTTCAGAACTTCCAACTCTGGCATCATTTTCAATATTTGACTGATTATTCGAGTACTTTCATAGTCAAAGTTACCCTGTGAAACATCAAGCGACTTTATTTTGAAATTACCCTCAATAAGTTCACACTTACATCCTAATTGGTTAAAATTACATCCCCCAATATTCACATCAACTATGTTTGTATGCTTATGGATCATATTAAAGAACTCTATAATGTCCATAGGATAATACTTATTGTTATTTAACTGTAAACTCATTAACTTAGAAGGAAGCCATTTCTGCATGCCTCTAATTTCTTCTACCGAATCAGATAACTTATTATTCTCTCTCAAACTTAAAAATTCTATTTTTTCCCAAGGTGTGAAAGTATTATGATTTCTCCTACACATAGACAACATGTGATCTTTGTTTAAGCCATTTTCATCCAAATAGAGTGCCTTTAACTCTGGCATCTTTGGTAACAACTCTGAAAAACTGATACTGCCTCATCTTCACCAAGTTTATTTGAGGAATAGTTTAAACTCTCAATATTTAGTTTAGTTATTGAATCTGCAAATATTTTGGTTCCCTCTAACCCAAGATTATTTCTACTAATGTTTAGTTTTTTCAGTGATTTCATTTTCTGTATAGCTTTGAAAAGCTGTGACAAACTTGATAAATTAGACTCCCCTCCAATATATTATGTCCACTGATATCGAGTGATTCAAGATTTTGGTAATTTCTTAATCCTTTGGAGAATGGTAAAACCTAACTGATGGTAAGAAAATCAGACTTTAATTTAAGATGCTTCAAAGATTTAATATTCTTCAACACTTTTGATTCGATCAAAATTAATTAAAAATAAGAGCCTAGATCTTAATTTATCATTTTTATATTAAAATATTCATGAACTACCAAATCAATTCTAAAACATTGTATATTAATATTTGTTAACTAATATTTTGTGATTTGACCTATTATTTACATCTTGGAATACATCTTTATCCTATTAATAAAATCCAATTCTCCATCCTTACTCTAAAATTATTACATGAGAATAATTTATTCAATTAAATTATATATGTTATATATGACATTTTCATACTCACTCACCATAAGTATTAATAATTCTTTGATTCAAAATATTTTTCATACCAATATCATATTTTAGTAAATTATATCAATTAATTCTTTTGAGAAATATATACAATATTCGACTTTATAGGGGTTAAAATGCTAAGAGTTCCACTATTCTTAACCATATTGATATTTTGCAGCCATGAAGAATCATTAACACCAATATCTCCTATAGAGTGTAACTGTACCACAGAATCCCCTTTATATCATAAGAATACAAGTGGTCCAACATATAAAGAAAAAGAGGTGAATACTAACTATCAAGCCAACAGAATGAATAATACAACCAAACAATCAGAGTTAAATATCAAAAAGTCTAACCCTTCTCAATACTCTCATGATGATCTTAGTGCAATGTTAGTGGTTATATTTGTTATGCTCTTTTGTCCAAGTTTTATACCAGCAGCCATTATCTATTGGATAACTCCAGAATCCGAAAGACCTAAATATTTGCTCACGACAGGTATTTTTCTCATAATAGGTTTCATACTTTTTGCTATTTGTATGTTTATTGGTGTACATATACTAGGGTTTACACCAGGTTTAATGTCCATTGTATGGTGTTTTAGTATTGGTATTATGGTGCTTATTGGTATCTTTTATTCTAAAATACCTGCTACACCAGTAAGATAATGTCATATCGTTTAATATTATTTTCATCTTCAAAAATATTGTGAGCAATATTTTTATTAATTAAGAGAATATTAAGTGCTTTACACAAAACTGAGACGATATTCGTTGACAAATGTAGTAGTTAGTGTTAATAACATGATTTTGCTGATTAATTTCACATTATATTCTTATTGTTGTTTTGATTTTAGATATCTGCTGCTTTTTTGGAATAAATGACTGGGATAAAACTGTTCTTCCTTTATACTACATGGTTTTATATAAACTTAATGGTACTCCACAGCTTTTCTGATAGAGTATAGAGATATTCTGTTCATCCCTATAAATTCTAATGTTTTTTTATATTTCAGACCTGAGATTATGATGTTCTATTAATACTACTCACACATCCTCATATGCTTCAATAGCAACTATTCTAGATATCATCATAGAGTAGATAATACTGGCTTTATTGATCATATTTTGGATATTGATACTATAGGACAGTTAAATCTTACAATTCCTAGTAGAGATATATCCCTTAAATGCTCAGTTTGTTGTTTTATATTTTTTCTTGTTCACTTTTTCATCTTTCCTGAATCATTCATCTATACTATTTTGAAAATTTTTATTTCTCTATAAACGATATTGTTCATTAATTTAATTTTCCAAAAATAATAAATTGATATTTACAATCAATGATCAAACACAAAATTAACCTAATATTACTTCAAGTGAAGGAATTATATGTGATTTTAAAATTAGGCTGTGGTGAAAAATTCAATGTAATATCTTTGGAAAATTAATATTTTGATATATATATCTTTTTTTTTTTAGCCCATATGACATGGATTCATTCTCCTGAACACGCTTGGAGGGCCGTTGAATTTTTCCACATTATGTCCAATTATACTCTATTGATGATTTGTGTTGGTATTGCTATTTTTTGGAAGAGCTTTGAAAAATTTTGGAAGAGCTCTGAAAAATTTTGGAACAGATGTAAGTGTGGATCCCTATTATTCATTAATGCTTTGACGATAATTTTTTTGGTATATTCTAAAATAATGTATGCTGCAGATAGTTTGGATGCAATTTTAGTAGCAGTACTAGTGATTGGTGTACAAGCTTTTGCGGGTTTAATGTACTTAAGAAACTTCTTCCAAAGGGGGAAATGAAATAAATATTTTCTGAATAAGTATCATTAAATTAGTTACGATAAATCTCATTTATTTTTTTGATTGAACAGTCGATGGTAATGAATGTGTGGAAAATTATTACCTGATGCCCATATATTTTAAAAAGCAATTAATAGTATTTATGCCTAAGGGGGGGGGGAGAGAGTACAATTCATATGGATGAATATTATGTAATATATGGACTTCATTATTCTAATTTATTTATAATTTTTCATTGATTTGGATAAATTTATAAATGATAGTTTTCATCTATATATTTTCTTATCCAACTCCATAATGAAAGTAACTATTATAAAACATCACTCCGACTATTCTTTTCGACAAACCTATCGATAATACTTTATAAGACTGGAAAATTTAGAGAAATAAATGTGGTACATCATTCTTGATAGTTTTAGTTACTCAATAGAAATCAATATTTAATAACAATCTCCCAAGAAATATACAACAATGTGAAAGTCTGCATTAATGATTTTTTAAAAGCTTCCTAAGCATTCATATTTTATGTACATTGATAGACTAAAATCATCACCTCTAGGGGGTATAGCTCAGTTGGTAGAGTGTTTGCTTCGCATGCAAGAAGTCGTGGGTTCGACTCCTACTGCCTCCATCGTGTTTTTTAATTTATTTTCAATAAAGCTGTTTTATTAATCAGAAATAGTTATCTCATTTACTAGGAAGTTCCTTGCAATATATACTTGGTATAAATAAGCGTGGTATTATTTATCAAGTGGAAATATATATCTTGACAATATACTGCTTATTTGTGATACTGAATGATGGTATTTTCTCATATCAAAGAAATTGCTCTAAACTTCATAAGCTTTTTAATTCCAAATGTTTTTCCCTCTCTTTTAAAAAATTAAAATAATTTTTAAGTTTTCCATCCCATGGAAACTACAATTAGCATAGACAATTATCGTTCAGAAATAGTAAATTATGTCCGAGCATTTCAGTTAAACTGTATTGATGTTAATTTATTTCTAACAAATATTGATAAAGGTCTTATCTCCAATATTAGCTGTTCAGATCTGGCAACATATTGTTCAGAAACAGCGGCCTCCCTGTCTACCGTTCATCCTCAATATGAAAAGCTTGCAAGCGTTATCACAATGACATATCATGCATCGGTTACCCAAAGGACATTTAAAGAAAAATTAGTCTATGTACAACAATCATTGGATGTTTTAAATCCGGAAATTGTAGAACTTGTTATAAACAACAGTGATATTATTCATTCTTTTATTGATTATTCTAGAGATTATGACATTAATCATTTTGGTCTCATTACCTTATTAAAATCATATGTCATTACAGTAAATGATGAAAAAATTGAGAGGCCACAGGATGTTTATATGCGTGTTGCTCTACAATTACACAGAGATAATTTTGAAAAGGTCAAGGAAACATATGATTTACTCAGCTTTCAATATTATACGCATGCTACTCCGACTATGTACACATCTTGTTTCAAGCTGTGCCAGTTAGCCAGTTGTTATCTGGTAGCATCAAAGGCAGATACGATTGAGGGGATTTTTAAGACTATTGAAGATTTGGTAAATATTAGTAAAAGAAATGGTGGTTTAGGCCTCCATATTCATAATATCCGTTCAAATGGATCTCGCCTGGTTACATCTGGAGGATATAGTAAGGGGATTGTTCCAATTATAAAGATTATTAATGATGCTTTGAAGTATATCAACAAAGGAGCTTCAAGGAGACAGAGTCCTATCGCTATTTATTTAGAGCCATGGCATGCTGATATTTTTGAATTTTTAGATTTAAGAAAAAATTCAGGAATTGAAGAATTTCGTGCTAGAGATATATTTACAGCACTTTGGGCTAATGATTTGTTTATGGAAAGAGTTCGTGATGATGGTGAATGGAGCCTGTTTGATCCTAATGTTGCTTTTGGTTTGTCGGATGTTTATGGAGACAATTTTACAAAATTGTATGAGAAATATGAAAAGACACTATCTAGAAAAGTAGTTAAAGCCCAAACACTTTGGAAGGCTATTATTAGCTCTCAGATTGAAACAGGAACACCATATATGTGCTATAAAGACTCTTGTAACAGACATTCAAACCAAAAAAATCTTGGAACCATCAAATCAAGCAATTTATGTGCTGAAATTGTTGAATATTCTTCTGTCACTGAAACTGCTATGTGTAATCTAGCATCAATATGTTTAAAGAAATTTGTTAGAGCCGATAAATCGTTTGACTACAATAGATTAAAAGTTGTAACTTCTATCGCCATTAGAAATCTGAATTCTGCAATTGATACAACATTTTACTTACAAGAAATATCCAAAACAAGCAATGTTTCGCACAGGCCAGTAGCATTGGGTGTCCAAGGATTGGCAGATGTGTTTATTCAAATGGGGTATCCCTTTGAGAGCTTGGAGGCTCGAAATGTCAACAGACTGATTTTTGAAACAATGTACTTCTCTGCTTTAGAAGTCTCTTGCCAGTTAAGTAAAGAACTAGGACCATATTCTTCATTTCAAGGATCTCCACTTTCAAAGGGCATATTTCACTTTGAGTCGTATTCTCCAAGTGAGAATGTCACAAGTGGAATATGGGATTGGGAGTCTTTGAGGCAGGATATTGTACGGTTTGGTGTTAGAAATTCTTTGACGCTTTGCTGTATGCCTACATCTTCTACTTCACAAATATGTGGTAATACAGAATGTATTGAGCCGATTTCCAGCAATATTTTTACTAGACGAACTTTTGCAGGCGAATTTCAGGTTGTCAACTACTATTTAATGAATGATTTAATTAACCTAGGGATTTGGAACAATGAGATGAGAAATTTAATTATTGATCATGAAGGATCTATACAAAATATTCCCACAATTCCCCAAAAATTAAAGGAATTGTATAAGACAGTATGGGAAGTCAAGATGAAGAGTGTAATTGAAATGGCAGCAGATAGGCAAGCATTTATAGACCAATCTCAATCATTGAATATTTTCCTAAAGCAGCCTACATATTCACAACTATCCTCCATGCACTTCTTTGGATGGTCTAAAGGACTTAAAACCGGAATGTACTATCTAAGAACAGAGCCTGTGGCCAGTGCTATTAAGTTTACGGTCAACCAGGAGATGGTTGAGTCTACGTTGAGCTCATTAAGAGATGCAGAAAATTCAGCAAATCAAGCAGATAAGGAATGTGAATCATGTTCCTGTTAGTACTGAACTATCAATTTTATAACTAAAGATAGTACTTTATTTTTAATTAAAATTTTAGCAAACTTGAGTTTATTTCGTTTTAGTGAAGCAAAAATCAGTATATCAACCTTCTTAATTTTCCCAAATACAGTTCCTCTGTTTTTACTCCAAAATGAAAAATAGTTGCTACAAAATTTTACCACACAACAATAACTAAGATAAAAATGAGCCATTTTATTGAATAAAAAAATCATAATTACTATAATATTATTCCATCAAATGAGGCATTACTATTCAATTTTAGTAACAAGCAATGTAGTTATACAACCTGTTAATTAGTAAGAATTATGAACTTTTGTATCATTTACCATATTTATTATGTTTCAGAAAATTTTTGAAAGTGAAATAGAACCTAGAACGTTAATTTCTCCTCAATTTTGTACAAATGTCACTGATTAATAGAAATGTTTTTACAGCAACCAAAAACAATAATTCTTAAGAAATTGGCAAATTTTATTATTGGTTTTTTAATATAATTTGACATTTTTAGTTAATGAAAATTAACTATTTATGGAAATTGATGATCATCTGATTTGAGGCATTCAACATATTTTATACAATAAATTAAGAGTTGGTTATTCAGATCGCTTTCTTTCTCCTTTTTGAAGAATCTGTTTCAAAATTAAAAAAAGCCCTTAAATGGTAGAAAGGAGGAATAATTTATCGACAACAACCAAGGATGAGATTGATACAGCCGACACACAAATAAATAGAAAATCACATACTGATATAGATGATTTCTCAAATATTGATCATGGAATCAGCAACGAATCAATATCGAATAAAACCGAACATACTGACTCTAACAATTCTTTGGTTATGTGTAATTATGAAACCGACATTGATTTTTTTCCTTGTAAAAGTAATTTTGCTTCAAAGAATTATTCTCAAAAAACTTCTAAATTAGACATACCATCCACATTTGAGTCGAAACGTTTCACTGCCATACAGATCATAATGCTGAGTATCAAACACATGCCTGGTGTGGATTATAAGACGCTTTTTCTATTTTCTATTATGTTTCTAATTACAATTCGAAATTCCATTACCTGCATATGTTCCATTTTAATTGATCAAATTAATGCACAGAATGTTAAGGTTCAGATTCTTTGTCTGTTTAGTTTAAAATTTGTAGAGATGATTGTAGAATATGCATACTGCCGAATTTTCGAGATTTATAATTCCAAGTATGGCGTGGGCCTAGCAGGGGAGTGCATCAATAGAATTTTATATACTGATAAGTTACATGTTGGTGAGCATGCTCAAACCGCTAAGTTTCATATTCTGCAGGGATCCAAAGCTATGTCCAATGTAAATAAGGAACTTATAAAAGGTGTATATAACAAATCAATTCATATATTACTTGATATGTATTTGGTTTGGTATAAAGACACAACCGATCACAAATATATTTTTACTGTTTCTTTAATAGTTGCTTTGCTGATTAGTTTTTGGAAAATTGTTTCCCTAAAGAAGTCTATGAGATACATCAGAAAATGCGAATACCATGCTGATAAGAAGGAAAATATTGTTCGAGAAATTTTGGTAAATTCTTCGATAATTAAAAACTATTCCATGGAAAGTAATTTGATAGATCACTATGAAAAATCCGGAATAAATTATATGAATGCTAGGCTTAAACAGAAAAATTCATCATACGAGGCTGATATGATTGGAGGATGGATGGCTGAGGTTTACAAACTTTTAATTTCATGGCTCTATATTTCTGCATTTCCAGGCAATATCTTGGGATTAAGAACCATTTTGTCGGTCATGAAGGATATTTTATCAACTCTATCAAACATTACAAAAGTTCATCAGACTATTTCAGAAACAATTATAAAAGCGGAACAAATTGTTGATTATTTGTACATTGAAAAGGAAAGAACGGAAAAAAAGATATTTATTGACTCATTCTATGAAAAAATAGAGATTGTTAACTTGGTATATCAAATTTCAAATCGAATGATTTTCAGAGGTTTGTCCATGACAATTAATAAAGGAGAAAAAATAGCTCTGTATGGTGGGAATGGGCAGGGTAAAAGTAGTTTATTCAAGCTGATATTGAATTATGATGAATATATGGGGGATATTTTGATCGATGGAATTGATATCAGGTGTTTATCACAACAAGGATATAGAAAGTTAGTTACCATTGTCCCCCAAAATACTGATCTATTTGATAATTCTATATTTTACAATATTACTTTTGGAAATAACAGCTCGTTCGAAGAAGTTATTGATGAATGTAAGCTATTGAAGATTCACGATTCTATTATGGCATTGCCATTTGGATATAATTCACATGTAGGACTTAGTGGAAATCTTATTAATGGAGGATTAAGACAAAAAATTTTCTATGCCAGGGCATTTTTATGCGATACACCCATCTATCTATTTGACGAACCGACTAATAATCTTGATACGGTTCATACTTCGCTATTTCTTGATCGAATCTTTTCATCCAAATTTGCAAATAAAACCGTCTTTACCATTTGCCACGATGTAGAAGTAATCGAAAAATTTCCTAAAATATACCATATGGAAGATGGACTAGCCATTTTAGAAAAAGATTATTCCAAATATAAAGCGTCTGAAGAGTTTAACGATATAGACTTTAGTTTAGATCAGTCTATTGTTTCTAATAATCCTGATGGAAATAAAACAGCCAGTATATTAGATACACTTAGTAATGATGATAAGAGTTTTTCTAAATAAATTAATTTACTATTTGGATACTGATGTCAATGAATCTCATTAATTATAAATTCATTTGAAAATTTTGGTTTTATATATTTTGAGATTTAGTTGCATTATCATTTACAATATGTATCCATCTAATGATACAATAATAACTCGATGATCTTTATTTTGTTAAGTTTAAAAATATTAATTCACCAGGATAAAAGAAAATGTGTGTTTCAACAATCTCTTCATTTATTTAACAAATTATAGGATACTCTGTACTAATCGCCAGGTAGCAATCCCCGTTATTTACTCCTATTTTGGAATAGATTTACTAGAAAAATTAGTGATGTAAAAAACACCATTGATGAATTCCATCCAAAAAGGAAAGTTGCTGGTATATTTATCAAAAAAATAATAGATGCCAAACTAGTAACATCTGGTAGGATATTTATCAACATACTTATGTGTTTATAGGATTTTGAAACTGTACCACCATCTTTTTTATCCAAGAACCCTTTAAACATAGCACTGATTTGAATGTGGATTAAAACACATTTGCAAAACAAAATTAGTAGCATACATGAACCTAGCACAATAAATCTAGTGGTGATTTTAACTGCTGAATTTCTTGTTGTGAATCTAAACCAAAGGAATGAATAGTAAATCTTATCTCCAATCATATTCAATTTTGAGTTTATAGAAATCAATATCACACTTTCCCTTTCTCTAGAGAATCTACTATACATTTGTGTTCTGGCTCTATCATCTGCAAAATTATCAATAAAATATTTGTGATTAGTATTTTCAGAAATGTAAAACTCCTCAGATGATTTTTCAGCATAAAACGAAGCATTTAGAGAATATCCATTCATTTTATAACATAATCTCTTGCCAGTCTTTGAATGAATAAATCTTACAACTGAAGTTCGTGCACACAGATACTCGCAAGGTATACTTATCGTCCACAGATCATAATCAACAGGTATGGACTGATACTGTGAATTAGCATCTGATGTAGATTTTTTATCTGGTTCATTTGACTCATTTGTGGTACTATCATCATTGTCCCCCTTAGAGGAGGTTTCAACGGCTTTAGCAATTACTCGGTTAAATTTCTCCTCCTCTTCTTTATCTTCCATGGTTAAGTATTCGTCTTTACCAAGATATTTTAACTTTACACAATCTCCATTTTTAATAAATCTCTCATCTTCTCCAATTTTATTACTTGGATGAATTTTCTCAATCTCAATAAACCTAACAGCATCAATAATCATTTTGGAATGTTTTCTTGAAACTATTGATATGATTGATCTATCCATTACAAACGCGTTATAGTATGTGCTTTCATTCTCAGGAAAAAACTCCTTTTGTGATGGCAAAGTTGATTCCAACTGAGATTGAACAATATTCAGATTGGTGTTATTATTTGTATTATAATCTTTAATTTTGAGAATATTTCGTATCTCAAATGGATACTTATACAACAGACTATTATCCCCACGATAAATCTGAGTGGGCAATATAGTATTTCTATGAGACAGATCAACTACTGCTGGTATAATAAGCGAAATAAAGAATAAGAATACAATAAAAATATATGAAATAAATAATCTAATCCAAAAATATCTTAAGAATATCATCTTTGCAGCTGATTTGATAGTAAATGATCGATAGGATGAGACAATAGCAGTACTATTTCCACTATTGCTAACAGGAGCTTCACACACATTAGGATTTTTATTATGCTTGAAACTAGCTGGGCTATTATGAATGGAAATAGAATCAATAAGGTTTCTTTTATTTTCCTTGACTGTTTTTTTAAATTCAACCATAGATATCTGTATAATAAGTAATCCAAGAAAGGGAATGCAATACAAATCGGATGATATTGAAAGAAATAGAAATATATAATTTAGAATAAGACTATCTCGGAACCAATAGGATGTTAGTGCAAAAAATGTTGCAAACGTGGAGTTTGATAGTGGTATCAATGTATTATCAAATATATATATTAAAAAAGCAAATATCAAACCAGATGTGAATAAGGTAGCACAAACATTTGATTGGAAAAGGCAAATACAAGCATAATTTAGTTTTGAATTTGCATAATATTCCTTCAATATCAAAAATAATACCAGTTTGTCTTTAATAATACCATAGAAATGGTTGGAAGAAGTTATGTAAGGTAATGGAAGATTTGATGGTTTGAGTTTTGGTAGCCATGCATCATTTTTCAGTTTATTCGATAAAATTATATTCTCATTGGGTTTTTT